AGATTATGACATACAAGAGGATTTATCAGTTTACAACATGCTCGAAAATAAATTGCTCATGGGTCAAAAATAGCATGCAAAATTATGACATACAAGATGGTCAATGAAGCAAGTGTATTATGGAGGGCTCAAACAGGGTTGAGCCCTTAATGAAAAGTGAAGATGAGCTCAAAAGAGGGCCACTTTCAGTTACGGCCGGAGCTTGAAACAAAAATCATGTAGGGCTTAAAAATAGATCAAGAAAAAGGGTCAAAAGAGGAGAAGTGTTACTTACCCTTGAAGACCAAGACTTTTGTTGCTTCTTGGATCAATTTGCAGCTCCTTTTGCCTTTGAGGAACCTTCCTTGCTGCTGGAAATGAGGTGGTGATGGTAGAGCTTGGTGGTGTAGAAGGAATGGTGCTTAGGGGCTTAGAGATTTTTAAAGAAATGAGAGGTATGGAGATGGAGTTGTGTATGGAGGCTTGAAGATGAAGTTTTCCAACCCCAACAAAGGATATATCTTGCTTGCTATATAGGCCAACAAGGGGGTGTAAAGGTGGGGGAAAAGGAGAGGAAAATTCCCCCACAAAATATCCCCCGGATAAATATCTTTTCTGGGGGATATTTCCCCACAGCTGTAAAGTGCACAGTGTCAAGATCTCGGCCGGCCTATTACTTTTGCTCCAGATGGCCGGCCGGCCACACCCCCTAGCCGGCCGGCTAGGGGTCAAAAGGGTCAATCAGATTTTCTGGCCGGCCACCAACTGGTACTGTCCTCCTATGTGTGTACATCACAAACATGTGGTTCAAAGTTCAAGAAAATGGGCCCAAGGGGTTCAACATTAGCCCGGAAGTGTGAAAAACGGGCGCCGGAGGGCGTCGGAGGATGTATAACTGGTTGCTGCAACAATTGCTGGCCTCCCACCCTTCAGTGACCTTCCTGGTGATAAAACAGAGGTACCTGCCAAAAATGAACGAAAACCCGTTGCAAAACGAAATTTTGGGGACCAAAAACACGCAGTTCGAGTGCCGAAATGGGCTGTTATAAGCACCGAAAGTGCCGTTCGCCACGAGTGGTTTCTCAGACCACTAGTGTCCCTTCAAAAGGAGTAAATAGGAAGGTATGGCCAAAAACGAGCAATAGGAGATCGCGTTAAGCCGGTCCTGAACGCGAGGCTACACGGCCTGACGGTCGCAAAAACTGGGAACGCGGACTCCGAAATGGGAAAAAATGGCCTACGGCCACCAATGTAGCACTACGGACATTAGAGGAGATGGTTCCTATCAGGACCTCTCCGCTCCCTCAGCGAAAAAGAAACAGAGAAAAACCGAGTCTGGTTCGCAAGCCGAGACAAGGGTATAGAAGAGGGTTCGGAAGTCCGGAGGCAGGGCTCACGGCCGCGACTCTGAAACTTCTGAACGAGCACATCATGCAACATCACCAAGCGCTCAATCAGTGACGTCTGAGTCTTAAGGTCGGTCAAAAATGGGGTGTCTACAATACAGCTCATATGCTTGTCTAGAGAAGTGAAGATAGAACTCATATGCTTATCTTGGTGAAGTGTGGATACAGCTTATATGCTTATCTGTGAATGTGAGATATTGTCGTTATACATATCTGTTGTGAAGTGTGGATACAGCTTATATGCTTATCTGTGAATGTGGGATATTGTCGTTATACATATCTTTTGAGAATGTGGATACAGTTTATATGCTTATCTGTGAATGTGAGATATAGTTTTTATACATATCTATTGAAATGATGATAGAGCTAACATGCTTACCTGTTGAAAAAGGGAAAATAAAAAGTAACTTGGACTCATAAGTCGTATGACATAAATATGTGATTTATGTGAATGTATCAGTGTTGGCCATCTATCAATTGCTAATCTTTTAGTCATTGTTCATGGTTGGTTTAGTATATTTCTACTGGGCTGTGGCTCACCCTATATGGGAATATCATTTTCAGGTACAGGTAGCATGCCACCTCCAAGGTCATAGCTTGGGAGGCTAGAGGCGGACATACTTTCGTCGTTTTACTTTTGATGTATTACATGTAAATTCAAGCCTAGGGCTTAATATGTAAATGAGTTAGTACTCTTTGTTGTAACCAAGTGTTAACTTGGAAAGCTGTAAGGCCGTAGGGCATTTTGCTTTTGTTGTTAACATGTAATACTTTTGTAATGAAACTTTGATAAATAGAAGAATGTGGTTATTTCATATGTCAATGAATGTCCTGTTTGATGGGTTTAATGTTATTATTTTGAGGGCGTTACAGGTTTTGAATTGTGAAATTAGAAATGAGGGTTATGGTTTCAGAAATTAGGGTTTCAGAAATTGATAATAAGTTAAATTTTTTTGATAATGTTATATGATTTTTTTTAGGAACAAATTATGTAAAAACGTAGTTCCAAATCGAGCCGAATTGTGTTTAAATGATTTGGGTCAAATTGGTTAAATAATTTTAATAATTTAATTTGATTACAATTTTTTTTAAACCATACACAATTAAACTTAAAAAATGAAAGGCAATTTTGGGCAATTGGACATGATTTTGGCATTTTGCGTTAGATTCATTATTTTGGCGTTTTGTGTTAAATTCAAGCAGCTTTCATTCTTTTATAGATGTTATAGAAATGATAAAATTGAAATAAATTAAAAAATTTAAGAAACAAAATATAACATATTTTAATGACACATAATTAAGGGGTAAAATATATGATCTTGTATTACATTGGTATCCTCTCTAACTTTTTCATAGTAAATGATGCAAGCTCAAAACATCATTTAGGAGGAATTATCATATCTTTCAAAAATTTTAATTAAATTCTGTGTTTTTTTAATTTTTTTAATTGTTTTATATAATACATAGGAGAAAAAAATAAGAAATAATAAATATGTAACCAATCGAATTGCAAGAATATATTATATAAGATATAGAACGGACCTATGTGATAATTTTTTCTGATTTAAGTTGAACCCATTTCCATTTTTCTTAAATTTAGGCTATAGTAATTTCTTCCCATTGTACCAAAAAAAAAAAAAAAAAATAAATAAAATAATTGTGAATTAGAAATATATTTTATAGGGTTTTGAATTGTGAAATCAGAAATTAGGGTTATGGTTTTAGAAATTTGGGTTTTGAATTGTGAATCCTGTCAATATTTTTTGCATTGTGAATTGTGAATCCTATTTATATTTTTTGAAATTAGGGTATTGAATTTTGAATTGTGAATCCTGTCTATATTTTTTGAATTAATTTTTTTTTTTTTGCTTGTTAATCCTGTCGATATGGTTAAATCTTCTTATTCTTTTGCTTATCTGTTCAACTTCAGCATTAGGCCACTATAACCTAGGTTATTTCCCTAAGTTATTTCCTACGTTATTTCGTATGAGGTTATTTCCCTAAGTTAGGAAATAATCTCATAGGAAACAACCTAGCAAATAACTTTGTCATTAAGGTCCCTAATGGCACAAGCTTGAGCAAATAAAAGCAACTTCTCTTTAATTGTCCATAAATCTCAAGAATTGGACAACCAGTTTTAAAAAATTACGTGAACAATGTTTGAAATAAAAATTAAGAACAAGTCATACAAAATCAGTCGAGTTATGTCTTGTTTTTAAATCAAATTATGTTAACAAAGGTTTTGTGTTTTTATTTTATTTTATTATATATATTTTTTGTATTACGACATTTAAACAGCTCTGAACAAAAATATCGGCTTCCGACACCTCTTTTGTGTAGTTGATGAGATTCACTTTATATCAGAACTAGTGAAGCAACAAGGACTTGCATAAACTTCTTTAATTTATTAATATAACCACAACTCGTAACCTTTTTCACCACAAATGGTTCATAACATTTACATTTTGTAACTTTTACTTTAAGGTGCACACCATAGATTCTCCATTCATTACTTTTTCGTAACTTTTACCACAAAAAATCGGAACTTTCTTACCGACTTTTTAGGTGCATGCCATAGATTTCTCCCTATTATTAACATTAACAAATTACAAAAAGAAGAAAGCTATGACTCTCTCTCTCTCTCTCTCTCTCTTCCTGTTATTAACCATTTTAAAGGAATTACTAATAGTAATAACGGTTATTGAAATCTGCAGATGATCGCTGTGAACATGCGACAATTTTAGAATTCGACAAGAATAAAATAACATATTTTCAAATTTCTTTTTTTATATCTTTTCCATTCAATCATTGCGCATTTAGAACCATTCCATCCAACCACATCACAAGGAGATCAAAGCCGTGAAGAATGTGAGATTAATGTATCCTCCCTGATGATGAGATCAACAAATGATAGAGTTTAGCTATGACTCTCTCTCTCTCTCTTCCTGTTATTAACCATTTTAAAGGAATTACTAATAGTAATAACGGTTATTGAAATCTGCAGATGATCGCTGTGAACATGCGACAATTTTAGAATTCGACAAGAATAGAATAACGTATTTTCAAATTTCTTTTTTTATAGCTTTTCCATTCAATCGTTGCGCATTTAGAACCATTCCATCCAATCACATCACAAGGAGATCAAAGCCGTGAAGAATGTGACATTAATGTATCCTCCCTGATGATGAGACCAACGAATGATAGAGTTTGTTCACTGAGGCTACGTTCTTCTAAAACTTATCTCCAAATCTAAGTAGGTTTTAACTTATGTTCCAATTCCATGTTGTTTTGTGAAGTCGTGTTTTTAATTAGTTTATTGCCAAAAAAACTCATGAATGATAGTTGCAGTAGTCAAAAGGGGTTCACTGGAATGCTCTGGTACAACGTAAGCACCATCAAAATAATGATGGTAGCATCAAAGACCAACAATCTAACAAATACTCACCAGAGGGAAAATGAGATTGTGTTTTACTAAAGGGGCATACCATCTACATGAAGAACACAGATCATACATTATGGAACTCTGAACAAAAGTATTATCTTAGAGAACCATGATGAGTGTGACAAAGTTGTACAAAAAAACAAAAACATACCTGCTCCAACATATTAGATATCTCAAATAGGGGATAGACTTTCAACGAATTTATAAGTATGAGAACAAAGAAAACGTTGAAAGATTGATGCATGAAAGTTAAGTAGAGGTATATGATCTAGAAGCACCCTCGATGTCTTGCACTTGAGATCATAATAAACTACTTTGCCAGCAGTAGCTAACACCAACGCAAAATCATTTTCGCTGACTCCCGTCACAACACATAGCACACGAAATTTGTATCTTCTGCTTCTGGCATCTATGTCTATCTCAGGGAATACAGAAATTAAGGGTCTAAGATTGACGCCGCATTTCACAATCCAATGGAAGGAGACCCTGTCCATCTCAAGGATTTTGAATCCCATAGCATTTCGCAATCGCATCTGAATAAGAAGCAAATGACCACCACATTCCCCAAAATACCTAGTCTTGTCCACAGAAAGAATTTTAGGACTTGGAGGATTATGGGTTTTTATGAGCTTCTCTTCATCAACGTCAAATCTAAAGTGAACATCCTCGTGACTCAACCAATGGATTGCCCCATTCCAAAACACACCTTCAAGGCAATCACGTAGTGGTTCACATTCACTGACAGTAATCTGTTTCCAAGACGCAGTCTCGGAAGAGTAGATATCAAATTGATAACAGGGCCGAAAGAAAACAACTTTGTAGTGAGGTGATTTTGAAGGATCAAAAGCCAAGTAAACACCCAATGATTCATGTGAAAGACATGGAAAATCAAGTTGAGGAAGCAGAGTGAATTTCTGGGTGGTTGGATTACAAACATTGTAATTTTTTCTACAACGATTACAAACAATTTGATAGTTCTAGCACAAAATTAAACCGTTGCAAGCGCTTTTAATCCTAAATGGATGATCTCCTAAAACAACATTGAGGAAGGAGAGAGTGGGAAGATTGCAATTTGGGTGGGCATGAAGCGAGACACAGTGAGGCTCTGTATGAGAATAGTCGTAGTAGAAGAACAAGCCAGAGATCATGGAGGAATTGCGAATTCGACGAGAGTGGTTGACGGCAAAGTGAGAATCGGAGATGAGATGGAGCCAATTCTTGGAGACGGACTTGAATCTGATTAGGGATTTGGCGGGTAGGCGTAAGAGAATCTCTGTAAGGAGATCTTCATTGCTCGCAATTACTTCTTCTGACGCCGGTGATCTTTCCGATGAAGTAGAATCGATGATCGCCTTTCTTCTTCTTTTGCTGTATGCTTTCTTCGTCATTTTCGCATAGCCACAGACTGTGATTTAGGGTTCGTATAGGGAGTAAACTGGAAATAGCTTGAAAGGTGTTGTTCGAAAAAATACTTGGAGATTTAAGATATTTTTGTATTTTAATAAGCTTAAAAATATTATTTTAGATTTTTTTTTTTAACAACTAGATGGAGTTACATAAAGAATTTAATATGTTATGACACGCATGTAACTAATCATATTATATGAGTTATAATTAAAAAAATATATATTATAACTAAACATAATATAAGGTATGATTAAATAACTCATGAGTTATAAGTAAAATAATATTATAATTAAATAAAAAAATTAATCATAACTAAAGAAAAAAATGATATAACTAAATATGCATATAGTATATCTTTTTCAAATGTGCGAATATTAGAATTTTCTAATAATAAATTATAGTGTCTATATAATTTTATGAGATTTTTTTTTTAGAGTCCCTGGTATTAAGACTTTATAGTATAAAGGGCATCTAATATTTTCATAATGTCTAAGGTCCCTCAATTTGATCCAGAGAAATTCTGTTTCTGGTCCAGAGAAATTCTCTCCAACCCAGAGAAATTCTCTGTTTCTCTCCAGAGAAATTTCGATTTTGTTGAAAAAATCACTAATGCAGAAAAAATCCAAAGTCAAAACTATAAATGCAATAATAACAATCAATTTGGAGTTGAAAAGTAGATATCAAACCCAGAGAAATTCTCTGTTTCTTTCTAGAGAAATTTTGATTTTGTTGAAATGCCTTCAAAAGTACAAAGCTAAACATTAAGTTTTTGTTTATATCAAAGAGACATTTCAATTCTACTGAAATTAATCAAACTTTTCCCTCCAAGAGTACACAAGGAAAAATGCCCATGAAAGTGCCAATACAATGTCTCCAACAACCTGTCTCAGCCAATTGTAACCGAGTATTTCAAGCTTCCTCTCAAAGTAAACTCTCCAGATCGATGACAATATGAAGAAGCACACACCCTTTAGCAAAGAAGATCTGAAACTCTATGTCCTTAACAAATGCCATCATGAACAAAGCAAATTCAAACTTTATGTCCTTACCAGAGAAATTCAAATCCTTTACCAGAGAAAATTCAAACCAGAGAAAAATCAAAGAAAATTGAAACCAGAGAAAATTCAACGGTAATTCAGAGAAAATTACCAAATTCAGAGAAAATTCAAAGGTAATCTAGAGAAAATTGCCAAATCTAGAGAAAATTCAAGAGTAATCTAGAGAAAAATCAAAGGTAATCCAGAGAAAATTGTCAAATTTAGATAAAATTCGATCCAGAGAAAATTGCTAAATTCAGAGAAAATTCAAGGGTAATCCAAAGAAAAGTGCCCAAATCTAGAGAAATTTAACACTATCAACACTGTCATAAAAAGAAATTATGATTTAAACTGAGTTGAATAGTTCTTCAAGCATAAAAAGAAAATGTATTCACAAATGATAAGTTTGAAAAGAACAGAGTAACAACCGTGAATTAAAATAAGCATGATAATTGAACGTTCTACAAATACAGAAACATTATACACCCAATACATCAAAACTCGAGGAATCCAAACACAATTTTGGCGGTTGATTTCTCAAAGTTCACTCCAGGACAGAGTTAAAACACGATAAAAAGCCACAATTAAGAAGAAAAAAAATATAATGTATCAAAAATAATCACGCATAAACATCAAACTCAAATAGCAATCAAAACACAAACTCAAGCTGACTGGAAAAAAAAAATAATACCGCAAGGGAAGAAGATCTAGCAGACAGAATCGTAGAATTATAGTTACGGTCGATGATATTGTAGTTGTCATCGTCATCGCTGTTGTTAGCCGTTTGAGAAACCATGACCTAAGCGAGCCTGATAGAGGGGGCTTTGGCGGCGAAGGTCTGATTGCGCTTGGAAATGCCGGTGGTGGAAAAAGAGCGAGAGTGGTGGTGATGCGACAGCGACATTGCCGGAGAGTAGGAGGCAGCGGGGGCGCTAGATTCACTGCTTCACTGGCGAAAGTAAAGCTGACTCTAAAGAGTCTCTGTTCGTCTTCGGTCCATCTGTTTACAGCAAATGATCTCGGTCTAGATCTTTGGGAGAGAGAGTCACGGTCGGAGAAGTAGTCAAGGTCGCAAATTGTCTGTCTGTGTATGAAGTTTTCGACGAAGTGAGAGTGGCCGGCGAGCTGGATCGGAAAGAGAGAGAGAGAAAAGAGCAGCGAGAAGAGAGAGAGAGAGGGTGAGGGTTTAAAGGTGTAAGGTATATCAAATTTCTTTGTAAGGACCTTATACATCATAAAATAATATTATAGATCTCTTTCATTACTAAAAATGGGAGAGGGACCTTAGACTAATTTTTCCTAATTTTATATATACACTGTGATGTGAAAAGTGGTATGATTGGGTGAGGGCTTTAAGGTAAGTACAAAAATGAAAAAAAGTAAAAAAAAAAACTATTTTCGTCTTTTTACATTGAAATTTAATTTTAACTCTCAAAATAAACATATAAGATATCCTCTCCATTAGTTTCAATAGAAATATAATTGTAATATTTTAGTCTAAGATCTTATAAATGGCATGTAAACTATGTTTAAAAGACAAATAGGTAAAATGTTATCGGATTATCCTACAACAAGTGTATAAAATAGATTTTGTCCTAATAATAATAACTTGAAAGATAAGTGAGTGTGTGCTTTGGTGCGAATGAAAATAATGGTTTACTTTTGCAAAAACATATACCATACACATAATTATTTTGAGAGTTGGGCTTCTCTTCTTAATGCTTTAAAATGACTAGATTGTCTAGTTTAGATTATGGATTTATCACATGTTCTATTTCAATAAATAAATACAATAAATTCAATACATTTATTTATTTTTTGAAAAAATAAAAAGTAAATATGATTTTAAAAGGGGCGCTTCGACCAAAAATTTTAAAATTAAATTTTTGTTGATCAGATGTCGAGGTGTTGACTTTTTTTGTCCATAAGGACAAGTTTGGGTACAATGACACACCACCCAGTATATATATGTGTGTATATACGTGAATCAAAAACCAAAACCTACTCTCTCTCTCTCTCATGCAATGTCGCCTCTTTGATCTAAAATTTTCTCCTTACATTCTGCTACAGCCATTCTCTGTTAGGCTCTGCCACTACTCTCCTCTGGGCTCCGCCACTGTTGATCTTAGAGTCCATCTTCACGATAACAATGTGCGAAAGATCAACGCTAAAAGTAAGAATTGAATAACCAGCGTGGTGGTTGAGGGAGGCGATGTGAGATTCGAATGGCACACAGGTAAGATCGTATTGGATGAGGCGGTAGACATCGACATGGACATCAACATCAACATCGACGATGGCAACAACGTCACAGAAGTCAACGCAAGTTACCAATATGAACAGCAAAGCAATCATCGAGTAACTATTATTATTATAACAATTTTTTTTTTAAAATTATTATTATTATGTAAGTTTAGATCATTTTTTTTGTTGTTGTTGTTGTTGTTGTTGTTGATGATGATGATGATGATGATGATGATGAAACATATATATATATATAATTTTTGTTTATTGATGTTGATGAAAATGAGACAGATTGTAACAGATAGGAAGACAGAAAGAGACGAACAAATAGAGAAAATAGAGATTTGAACCAATAGGAAAAAATTGAGATAGAGTTTAGTGATTTGGTTTGGTTTCGTATTTCAATAGATGAATAAAAAATAAAAATAAAAAAATTGAACAAATAGAAGAATTTCAAGAAAAAATTAAACGGATAAAAAATTTACAAAGAAAAATTTGAACAGATAGAAAATTTACATAGATAAACTTTGGACAGATAGAAAAAAATTTAAACAAATCGATATAAAGGGAAGTCCTTGGAGAGTTGAAAGGAAAGGGACTTAACTCTAAGAAACTTGGTGGTAGAGAAAGGAGGTTCAAGCGGTAATAAACACAAAAAAAGAGTGATTTAAAAAGTGACAGAAAGATAGAACTGATGAAAACCTTAAGAGCTATAGATTAACTAATAAGGAGGTTAAAAAAGTAGTGAGAGATGTTAAGTTGAAAGCCTATGATGATACACTAGACTAGATAATAAAAAGTGAGAGAATGAAATATACAAACTTGCTTAGATAAAAGAGATAAAAATAAGAGATTTTAATTAGGTTAAGTGCATCAAGAGTGAGGACTCTAAAGTGTTGGTGAAGGATGAAGAGATTAAAGAGATGTGGAAGAATTATTTTACGAAATTTTTAAATGAGGAACATGAAGGAAGGTCAAAGGTTGAAGAAGTAGCCAATAATAAGGAAAATCAAGACTACAGGTTCTATCGTAGGATTAGGAACTTTGAAGTGGAGATTGTACTTAAGAAGATAAAATCGAATAAAGCTTTAGGACCCGATGATATTCCTATTGAAGTTTGGAAATGTTTGGGTAAAAAAGAGGTTGCATGTTTGACTAGGTTATTTAGCAAGATTTTGTTGACTAAGAAAATACCAGAGGAGTGGAGGAATAGTATTGTAGTGCCAATCTATAAGAATAAAGGAGATATCCAAAATTGCAACAACTATAAAGGAATCAAGCTGATGTGTCATATAATGAAAGTGTGGAAGAAAGTGATGAAACATCGATTGCGAGATATAACAGAGGTGTTAGAGAATCAATTGGGATTTATGCAGGGTAGGTCAACAATAGAAGCAATCTATCTTTTGAGAAGAGTAATAAAAAAGTATGGAGAAAAGAAAAGAGACATTCATATAGGTTTTTATTGATCTTGAGAAAGCATATGATAGAGTGCTTTGGGATATAATTTGTTGGGTGTTAGATAAGAAAAAGGTGACAAAAGAGTACATTGATGTGATTAGGAACATGTATGAATGTGTGGTAACCACCATTAGATCACCTGCTAGAGAGACAACTAAATTTTCAATTACTGTGGGATTACACCAAGGATCAACCTTATCTTTTTACTTTAGTTATAGATTAGTTGACAAGAAATATTC